TGTGATGTACTGGATTTTTCGCCATTGCTATTGCTGACTTGTTGTCGCAGTATATCTCCGTTGGACTTTCTTGGTGTTCTCCCATATATCCAAGAATACGCCTAAGCCAAATAGCTTGACTAGTTGTTAGTGCTGCTGCGACATACTCGGCTTCTGCTGATGATTGTGCCACACAATTTTGCTTTTTAGATGACCATGAGAATATGCCTGAGCCAAGTGAAAATGTGTAGCCCGAGGTGCTTTTCATATCGTCAGTTGATCCGGCCCAGTCACTGTCTGTGTAGCCGACCATGCTTGAATCTTCGTTATATTCGTATTTGATTCCATAGTCTTTAGTACCCTGCAAATATCGCAGTATTCTCTTTGCAGCTCCATAGTGAACTTGGCTCGGACTTTGCATGAACCTTGACAGTAGACTTGTCGCGTACATGATATCAGGTCTTGTGGCTGTCAGATATAGTAGGCTTCCAATCAGACTTCGGTATGTGGATGCGTCTGCATTTGGCGTACCATCGTCTTTGCTGAATTTTTCGTTTGCAACCATGGGAGTAGCCACTGGTTTACAACTGTCCATCTTGAACCTTTTTAGTAGATTATTTGTGTATTTCTTTTGTGAGATAAATATCCCGTTTTCGTCTTGGGTTACCTCAATGCCGAGAAAATAGCTCATTTGCCCAAGGTCAGTCATCTCAAAGGTCTTCATCATATCTTCTTTGAGCTCCTTAATCATCTCCTCATTGTTCCCTGTATAAATAAGATCATCAACATAAAGAGAAACAATGAGTTTGTTGTCGTTACCATGGGTTTTGATGTAGAGTGTTGGCTCAATTTCGCTTCTTTTGAATCCATGACTGGTGAAGTAGTCATCAATTCGGCTGTACCAAGCCCGTGGGGCTTGTTTCAATCCATAAAGCGCCTTTTTTAGTTTTAGGACTTTATTTTCTTGTCCTTCTGCCACGAACCCTTGAGGTTGTTCGACATAGATCTCTTCTTCTAGATAGCCATTGAGGAATGCTGACTTTACATCGAGCTGGTAGATTTTCCATTTCTTCTGGGCCGCGAGAGCGATTAGAGCCCTTATAGTATCTAGCCGAGCAACTGGAGCGAAGGTCTCGTTGTAGTCAATCCCCGGAAGTTGTGAGTACCCTTTAGCTACCAGTCGTGCTTTATGTTTTTGGATTGAGCCATCTGGATTCAGCTTTGTTTTGTAGACCCACTTGACTCCAATGACTTCCTTGTTATTTGGTGAATCGACCAACTCCCAAGTTTTATTCTTCTCGATCATCCTAATTTCTTCCTCCATGGCTTTTACCCATTCTTTTTGTTTTACTGCTGCTTCAAAGTTCTCTGGTTCCATCGTGGCAAAGTTGCATGTCTCGTAGATCTCCCTGAGTGTTCGTACTTTTCTTGGTGGTGATTCTGAGGATGACTGTTCGTCGCTTGATGGTGATGATGTTCTAGGACTGGAAGGTTGTGAAGTTGGAGATGATTGTGTACCTTCTGTTTCATCTTCTTGTTCTTCTGGTATGATATTTTGCCTCCGTGATGCAGGTACCATGATATTTTGGTATTCGACCTTTTCTTCCTCCCAGTTCCACATAGCATTTTCATCGAACTCGACATCTCGACTGATAATTAGTTTACCAGTCTTGAGGATGTAAATTCTGTATCCTTTAGATTGAGACGCATAGCCGAGGAATATACCTTTCTCGGACTTCTCATCTAGTTTATGCCTCTTTTCCTTTGGGATGTGAACATAGCAAATACTCCCAAAGACTCGTAAATGTTGGGCTGATGGCTTTCGTCCACTCCAAGCTTCTATTGGAGTTTTATTTTGGACAGCTTTAGTAGGGCACCTGTTGAGTAGATAGACTGCAGTGTATACAGCTTCTGCAAAAAATTCTTTAGGCATGTTCTTTTCCGCGAGCATTGTCCTGGCCATCTCTTGCACTGTTCTGTTTTTCCTTTCTGACACGCCATTTTGCTCTGGAGCGTAGCCGACAGTTAGCTGGTGATTGACTCCTTCATCCTCGCAGAATTTGTTGAACTCCTTGGATGTGTACTCTGTACCTCGATCACTCCGAAGTACTTTAATTCTTCTTCCACTTTGATTTTCGACGAGACTTTTGAATTTCTTGAAGATAGAGAAGACTTCGGACCTTTCTTTCATGAAGTACACCCAAGTCATTCTTGTATAGTCATCAATGAAGAGGATGAAGTACCTGTTCTTCTCGAAGGTTGGCGTTCTCATTGGTCCACACACGTCTGTATGCACCAGCTCCAGTATTTGTTTGGCTCTTCCTGCTTGACTTGAAGGAAATGATTTCCTATGTTGTTTTCCCTCCATGCACTTTTCGCAGAGATTGTAGTTCATTTGGATGGACGGTAGATTTTTCATCATATTTTTCTGATGGAGTAACTTTAGCCCGTTGAAGTTGAAGTGCCCGAATCTTCGATGCCATAGCCAGGATTGATCTTCTTCGGCTTTTAGTGCTGCTTCTATGAATTCCAACGGAGTGGAAAATTTCTCCGTTGTTGCATTTTTACTACAGCTATGGGATTATTTTTGTTGTCATAAATGGTGCAAGAGTTGTCTTTGAATAGTAGCTTGTATCCTTTTTCCACCATTTGTCCCACGCTGAGTAAATTAGTATCAAGTTTTGGTACTAGCAGCACATCTTCTACGAGACGAGTACCTTTTTGGGTCTCGACTTCTATTGAGCCTTTGCCTTCAACTTCTACTAGATCTCCATTTCCTAATCGAACTTGTGATTTTACAGATCTATCAATATTTTTAAATTTCTTCTCATCTCCGGTCATATGGTTGCTACAGCCGCTATCTAGAAACCAAATATCATTTTTCTCTTCTGAAGTTGCATGTGTTGCATAGAATAGCAAATTTTCTCCTTTTTCATTTTCTTCAGAGAAATTTGCTTGATATTTTTTTATGCGGCAATTTTTCTCCACATGACCGAATTTACCACAATTTTTACATTGTGGTTTATCTCTGTACCAACAATCCTTCTCAAGATGGTTGGTCTTTTTGCAAACTCCACAAGGTGAATATTTTTCTTTTTGTTGATTATTATAATTTCCACCTTGATTTTTATTTTTGCTATTTTCTCCAAATTTTCTCCCCCCAATTTTAGAATTCTGAGACCGTAATTTTAGTTTTGACTGAAATGCGTTTTCGACTGTATCATTTTCACGCATACTCAGTCTTTTCTCATAGGCTTCAAGTGAACCTATTAATTCTGTCACTGACAAATGATCCAAATCTTTAGTTTCTTCAGTCGTCGTGACGATAGGATCATATTTGGCTGGTAGAGTAATTAGTATTTTTTCTACCACCCTTTTGTCAGTGATATTTTCTCCAAATGCTTTTAATTGATTTACTACTTCTCTTAATCGAGTGTAGTAATCTTTTACGGTCTCAGATTCTTTCATCTTCATATTTTCCAAATCTCTTCTTAGAGTTTGTAATTTTAGATGACGTACCTTGTCACTACCCTGATATTCTTCCCTTAGAGTATCCCATGCCTCCTTTGATGTTTGTGCTCCGCTAATTCTTGGAAACAGGGACTCCGTCATGGCCATTTGTAGTGTGAAAAGAGCTATACTGTCTTTTTCCTTCTCCCGGTCGAATTTTTCTTCATCCGCCGTAGACAAAGTGGATATGTCATCAGGGATAGTATACCCGTTCTCGACAATATTCCATAGGCCTTGAGACATAAAATATGTTCTCATTTTGATGGACCAATAGTTATAATTTTCGCCCGAGAAAATAGGAATTGGTATTTGATGGGTGTTTTGGGAAGTGGCCATTTTAGAATTTTAGTAGGCTATATGAAAGTAGGAGGATATGTGAAAGTAGGGTATTTGGACAAGATATCTAAAAATAGAAGACTATGGAAAAATAATTTCGCCCAGCTATTAATCCAACCGGGCTCTGATACCACTGTTGGTATCTAAAATATGATATTAAATGTATATGAATACAATGAAAGATAAGTATATAAATTTAGAAGAAATAGATTGAATTTATTATTTTATTTTTATTATAAGGCTAGAAGAATTAGTAATGACAAAAGACACTTATTATTCTAATGAAGCTTTGTTAAATTTATTTTTATTGGTGCATTGAGAGTGAGGAGTACATACATATTTATAGGCAAATGAGACGGTGGCTTCAGCCGCCTTTCTTGACATTTTTTTTTTATTTTTTTAATTAATAAATGTTTAACAACCAACTAATATCTGTCAACTAATATCTACTAGTTTCTAGAAAGAGTATTAATTTAACAATCTTTAATACTCCAGTTAGACTCACCTGTTATAGGGAAAATCCAATGTTAATTTATGTCCCACTGCTATTATTGTTCAATTTATTCTTTGCTTGAGGTAGTTTCTATACAAACTTATTAGATTTTTTCACCAAATAACTTTAATTAATTTCCTAGAAACTGGCAGTGTTTGTTAAATAAAAGTTGAAGCTGACATAAAATTTAAAGTATATTTTCCTTGGGAAATATGTGCATGACTTGAAAAAATTGTAAACTTTTAATTGGGACTTTGAAGAATTTTTTAAGATTTTTTAAAGTGAGTGAATTTTGGGAAATTTTTAATGACTTTGGTGGGCATTCTGAGGCTTCCATAACAAAATTTCACAAATTTGATGAGATTTCTATTGAAACTTTGTCTTTATAATTTTATTAAAAACATCTCCAAAAGTCTTTCAATTTAAAAAGTTTTATAAAGTCTCTCTACTTTGAATGACAGGTAACTTATTGAGACTTTTAGAAAGTTTCAATTAAATACAGTGAGACTTTTTAGAGATTTATAAAAAAGTCTTTAAAAAGTCTCAATTGAATATACTAGAATTTTGAAAGTCTTAAAAAAAATATTAAACGAATAAATCTCCTATATCAAATAAACGCAAATAGATTGATGATTCAAATATTAAGAAAAACAAGAACAAAAATGAGCAATCTTCAAGTATGTTACTCCTTACCCCCAACTTTAATTGAACCACTATTCTTAAACTCCCAATCAAGTATGTAATCATAGGTCCCAACTGTTGCCACCATCCTCACCACCAGACTAATCTCTGCTTCTCCATTTGTAATCTGCAAAGCCCCAACCAAATAAATATAAAAAAAATTAAAAATTAACATTCCCACCATACGACTCGAACACGCAAATCGCGCGCTCAATCACCTGGGGCCGCCCATCCCCCCCTGCCACGTACTCATCCACATACACCGCATTGCACGGGCAGTCGACAAGTGGCACGAGATTACTGGCCGACCTCCCAAACCCAAACTCCCCAACATCCATAAACGTGCGGTAATGCCACTCGGGCGTGGGGTTCATATACGGCACAAAAGTCTCCGACACGTGCCCCCTGTACAGAACACTCCGGAACCTTCTCCTCACATTATCATAAACGCTCGCCGTCGATATAACAAGCCCGGCCCGCACATCGAGCGCCACGTGGAATTTCCAATTACCCCATCTCACTTGTTGACCGTTGACCTCCACATTAGACTTGTTTGTTTGACAGTGGATGGGCCGGGCCCCGGCCCGGAAATCGGTACCCTCTGCCTTTGGCATTCGGGCCTTCAGCCTGTCGACGAATTCGACCACTTGCTGGGCCTCGAGGTCGATCAAAAGGCCCAAACCCTCGATGGGCCGGGCCCAGACATTGGATGTGCCTTCTCCTCTGTAGAAATACGGGCCAAACACGTGACCCGAGCGAGCCTTCTTGTTACGGGCTCGCCGTACCAGCCCGTGCTCAGGGGCAAATATGTAATTTCCGATAAGTTGAGCCCTCTTTTCGAAATCGAGTCTCGAAATTGGGAGTTTGTGAAAGGAAGTCTGCTGGCTTGGAGGAACTCGTCGAAGGTGAAAGGCTGGCAGCCGTGGGATTAATGGACTTTGTCCGAGAGGATTGAATTCTTGATTAGGTCGATGATTAGTTCGCGTGTCTCGTCATTGGCCCGAATCACCGCTTGGGCCCGACAGGCCGGGAAAGGCCCGTTTTGTTTAGTGGAAATGAGCCATTTTAGGACGTCCTGTTTTGGGGGCTCATCGAGGTCGAGAAAGTGAAAGGTTAGGTTATGGAGTGAGCCGTAGTGAGATTTTTGGATAATGAGTGTAGTTTTTTGGATTTCTTGGGGTGTGAGAGGATCTAAGGGGTGGTGGGATTGAGCTTTGGATGATGATAGTAATAATATTAAAATTGAGAGTGTTAGTGGTTTTATATAACACATATATAAATATATATAGGACTAACTTTTATGTAGCAGAAGCGAAAACTTGCTCGTATCTTTTATCCGACGACTACTAGAGTCGTAGGTATCCTCCACGCTCTAAAACCCGAGCCGCCTTTTGATGATTTCGGCTCAACAAGAGATTTATGCACTTAAAGAATATTTGTAATGATATCAATTTTAATTATTTTTCTTCTTCTCGTGTCACACTTTCAAGATGCACACAAACACCTTGAGCTCATTTGTTTGCCAAGATAAGACAAGATTAGCTCTTTAATCTTGAGTAATCTTATGTTTGTTAACCTAGATTGAAGCCCGCTACAGCCTGCATGACAAGATTCAGCCCGAGATTAAAAGTCATTTTATCTTGGATATCCATGATTATTGGATCTTGATGTTTTGGCATGATATTTTTCATCTCATCAGTACAAAAAGCTGGAAATGTCCATTTTCTCCTCAAATATCCTATTTTTTTACCAACTAACCTTAACTTGGACGGAAATTTCAACACAAACTATTCTCCTAAAATCCATACTACAATTTTTGATCTTTTTAAAAACGCAGAACAAGGAAGAAATTCACCACCGTATATATTAGAGAATTAAATAATTTCCATGTCCAAAAAAATTGCATATGCAAGCAACATATTATGAGCATCTTCATATTTGGGGAAAACTAGCTCTCACATACGGATCTATTGCTTTTCCAGTGTGAGCAAAAAACAATCCCCACAAATAACCCAAATCCCGACCCACCATCTCCGCCACGAAAATGCCGTTGTTGACAGCAAAGCATGCTGTTAATTTCCATCTCCATGAAATTAAAGAAACTATTTTTTTATTTATTTGTTTGCAGATTAAGGAGCCTGTATGTAGATAATTTTTACAATAAAGAAAATAAAAAGGGAAAGATGAGAAAAGGAAAGGAAAAAAGAAAAATATGCAATGAAGGAAAAGGGTCGTTTTGCTGTGAAAGAAAAAGGATTGCCAAAAAAAATTATGGAATGGAAAGAAATGGATAACAAGAAAAGGAACTAAAGAAAAAAAATATATATTGTTGTTGTTGTGCCCTAAGATGAAGTGGAAAGAAATGTGTGAAAGGAAAAAATATAGGAAAATATAAGTTTGAATGGAATGAAAAGAAATAAGGAATAAATTATATTTGCTATAATGAACAAGCAGATGGTAAATATTTTGGGCATTGGGGACAAAATTGACAATGTACAATTATATCCGATAAGTTATCTAGTGAAACAAACATTGTGAGGAGTGAAACACTATCTTATCCCAACTAACAATCATACGAAACAAATGTGGGTCTTGTTTTATCTGTACAGTACAATCCGCTCTTCCCCTATTAATTTAGTCTAATCTCATCTCACGAAACAAATGAGCTCCTAATTTATAGTTGTCTTAATACAACTATTCACTTAATGAAGCGTTTATTTAATCTCAACTTCATAACTCCATACATAATGGAGGTGAGTAACAACTCCACAATTAAGTGGATGTTACAAGTTAATTGATGCATGTAACCTCAATTACAAACAATACTCCCACTCAGCCACTTCAGTCGAGACAATATCATCAACATAAATCTTTATCAACAAATTCCTTGCCTCATACGGGTAATAGAGCGTGCGACCAAAATCAACAATAACAGTGTCATATTAAGTCACCATCTAACTAACATAACACCTTATACTTACGACAACCTCTAACTGTTCAAAAATCACCAATAGCATACACTGTCCCTATAAGCATATATACAACATGGTTATATTCAAATATAACCGCCCGAGCTAATGTGGTGAAGTTGAATCAGTTATTTCTTAGACACTAATGAAACTTCATCTCAACTTAGTTGCTTTCCTAACATGCTCCGTCGAACTGTATCGATCATAGCTCTTGGAGGACATATTAAAGTAGCAACACTAAGCTCAATTTCATAACATAGTTCTAAGTCAAAAGGCTTCATACAAAGTTGGACAACAAAATCCATAGGATTCACACCTTGACAAAGTAGGGAATCATGTCATCCTTAACGGTCGTTCAAAGCACACGTAGTATGATATACGTGTCATAACATAGCTCCCACTATGATGGGCATGTCACTCTACTATGTTATACGAATCTGTAGTCTAGATACTACTCAAGTATCTAACCCGAGCCACTTGATAAATATTCTTAATAATTTATCTTCAACTCGAGATTCGGCTTCAGGCTTTGATATTCGACTCGATAGAGTCTCATCTTAGACGTACTAAGGCAACTGTAAAAATATATTTATTACAACAAATGTATAAATACAATTCATATTACATACACTTAATATGAATATGACATAGTCTCATCCTATTATTCACAACTAATGTGATAGGGCGATTACCTGTGTGATAAGCGTAATCAAAAGCCTGGTGACATCTTTACTCATGCCTACTTATGCAACATATGTTAAAGAACATATCAAAGAACAACAAATTTCATATATGTTCGGTGTAACATTATATACATCCATTATCCCACAAAAATAAAATTAAAACCTACGCAAACCAAGACTCTTCACATGAGTCTAGAAAGCATCTCTGCGTATAGGTTTAGTTAAAAGATCAGCTATCATTTTATTTGTGGGAATATACTTAATGACAACTTCTTTATTTTTTATTGTGTCTCGTACAAAATGATAACGCCTTTTGATATGCTTGGTTTTTCTGTGAAACTTAGGATCCTGGGCATACTGGATAGCAGCAGTATTATCACAATGCATTTCTATAGGTTCATCAACCTTTGGGGTGAGGTTGAGATCTTGTAGAAAATTCCTCAACCATATTGCCTCTTGAACGGCAATGCAACTGGAAACATACTGAGCTTCCATAGTCGAAAGTGAAATGCAATCTTGCTTTTTACTGCACCAGGATATTGCACCTCCACCAAATATAAAGGCATATCGTGAAGTTGACTTTGACTCATCCAGATCACCACCCCAATCAGCATCCGAGTATCCTTTTAATTTCAAGGACCCACCTTGATAGCAAAGTACCAAGTCACTTGTACCACGCAGGTACCGCAAGATTCTCTTGACAGCTTGCCAATGTGCAGGCCCAGGGTTGCTTTGGTAACGACTTACCAAGCTAACTGCGAAGCAGATGTCTGGCCGTGTACATAACATAGCATACATCAAGCTTCCTACTGCAATAACATATGAAACATTGTTCATTTTATGTTTTTCTTCATCTGTTTTCGGACATTGATCAAGACTTAAGGTTAAACCCTTTTCGACTGGGGTATCAACGGGTTTGGAATAATGCATTCGAAAACGTTTTAAGATTCTTTTAATATAGGTTTCTTGAGACAAACCAAGAAGTTTCTTAGGACGATTTCTCATTATTTCCACTCCTAGGACATACCTAGCTTCACCCATGTCCTTCATTTCAAAATTAGAGGACAACCACAGTGTCGTTGATCATTCCCATGTTGTTTCCAGCCAACAATATGTCATCAACGTATGGAGAAAGAAACAAAATTCCTTCTTCACTTTTCTTGACATACACACAATGATCCTCATCAACCATGGTCAAACCAAATGCACAAATGGCTTCATGGAATTTAAGATGCCATCATCTGGAAGACTGCTTGAGACCATATATGGATCTTTTGAGGCGACAAACTTTATTGTCTTGCCCTTTTGGGACAAACTCAATAGGTTGATCCATATGTATCTCTTTCTCAAGAGAACCATTGAGGAATGCTGTTTTTACGTCCATTTGAAATAATTCTAAATCCAAATGGGCAACCAAGGCCAGAAGAAGACGAATAGAGATAAATCTCGCCACAGGAGAAAATGTCTCATCGTAATCTATATCTGCAATTTGGGTAAAACCTTTCGCTACTAAACGAGCTTTGAACTTTTCTATTCATTACATCCAATTGATCGACGATGAGGTGGAAGGTCAACAAGTTCCCAGACATTATTTTTAATCATTGAGTCCATCTCATCATTCATTGCATCTTTCCATTCTGAATTATATGGTGAATTCATTGCCTCTTTATAAAAGTTCGGTTCATCTACTTCTAAAGGAGTACAAAGAAATACATCCTCCTCAATTTGAAAAAATTGACGAGGAATTCTTCCACGATCACTCCTTCTCAAAGTAGCACTTTTGATTATTTTCCAAACTACCTGAAAAGTTTCTCCCACTGTCCTCGAGAAACATGGGGCTATGAGCATGATAACTTATCTCGTGCTCTACTCTATGAGGCTCATCCTCATTTTGAGTTTGTTTTTCACTAGTGGAATTTAGAAGAACTTCATTATCTTAGGAGACCTGTTGAGGTAACATATCCCCCTCATCTCCTAAAGATACTTGCATTTCACCAATGGAATTTAGAAGAACTTCATTATCTTTGGAGACCACTAGAGGTAACATTTTTGGGATCTGTGAGGATCTCGTTATGTACAAGTCACGAATTCAGTAGCAAACGTAAACCTATGCGCAGCGGATCTAAAGGTTTGACGTAGAGAACTTACGGCTTAAAATTTATGTAGATCTGGTTGACCACGAACGGTTGATCGAAATTGATTGACCGCAACTCACGTCTTGGGTTGCACGAACAAGATCAGATCAAAATCGGATCAAACGGATGCAAACAGATCAAAACGAAACTTGCAGCCTGGGAGATTCCGGCAGCACGTGAGGGCGCATGAGATGCCGGACGGCTGCGATCTCAAGAGCGATGGAAAGCTCTCGTCGAGACGGTCGTCTGGGTATGTTGTACGTCTCAATCGGACTTTCGGTTAGTTCTGTAGGTCAAAATATATTTCGTCTCGGTTTATCTACAGATCTTCTACTGTATTACTCAATACACCCTTCTTCAACTTGTACCAGTGGAGCAACAAGAAGAAGATAAAGTTCGAATGAGATCTAGAGAGAGAGGCGTGGGGCGTTATTCACGTGTGATTAGGAATTCTCTTCCCTTCTCATTAGCTTAATGATGTATATATAGAACTACAATAAGGACCCTTAGGAGATTAGGAAAAGGGCTCCTTAATTAATTAGACTAACTGTGGGCCAAGCCCACTCCTCTAATTAATTAAATAATATTAATGGCCACCAACATTATATTATTGCACTCCCTTTTCCTAGCCCAAATTACATTTGAGACTCCAATAATAATTACTCGATTTACCTCCCCACGTTTAAGATATAATGTCCATTAATTAATTCGATTACTGAAAATCAAGAATTAATTAATTTATTATTATTTCACCGAAGCTAGCGCTCGTTCATCACATTCTTATTATGTCGGAACTTAATCCACCTGCAGGGTTTAGCATAACAATCCTTCATGAACTCACTCTGGGGACATCATCAAACTAACGCACATGGTGACCGTAAATATCCTAACAGCACATCCTATATATAATAATATTACCCAAAACAGTTGGAATATTAATCCAGCGAACTGAACCTCACCCATGTGAATCAAAGTAATATATATTATATATCTCTGTCTGTTTAATATCTTACGGGTTAAGAGAACGCAGTAATTAACCGAAGCCTAGTTCATTTACGACGATCAGTATAAAATGAACTTCTCCTCTCTGGGATCCTGTTCAGTACATAAATGTACTAGTACAACTAATCAGTCAAGACAAACTGTACAGTTGACACTACAACCGTTCGGATGGGGTGTTCATGTCCATCTAGGATATGAACAACTATTCTTGTTCGCAAGTGACTGATAGAGTGATCTTCGGTTCGCCCGATGACGACCCACCCTATCTAAGTGCAGAACAACAGAACGTAGAACTTGTTTAATCTAACATGATTCTCATTCATAAAGGGTAAATGTGTAATAACATGCAAAGTCAAGCTTTCAGTATATAACACTAACAAACATATCCCCCTCATCTCCTAAAGATAATTGCATTTCTTGTTGTAATTCATACAACTGAAGGTCTTTCTTAATTTCACCAGTACTTGGGAACTCATCCTCAAGAAAATGGACATTGAGTGAGTCCAACTCAGTCATGCCACCATCTGGATGTTCACCAAACATAACATACCTTTTGAATGTTCAGGGTATCTAATGAACACCATTTTGGTAGCTCTTGGATCAAGCTTTTTATGCACATAGCTAGCCGAACCCCAAGGGCGTAAATGGTCCAAAATGGGTGGTTTCCCATTCCACAACTCATATGGAGTGAGTGACACACTTTTACTCGGTACACGATTAAGGATGTATGTTGCCGTAAGCAACGCATCTCCCCAAAATTTAATAGGGAGATTGGCTTGCGCCATCATCGACCTAACCATGTCCAGTAATGTACGATTTCTTCTTTCAGCAACACCATTTTGTTGCGGAGTATATGGAACCGTAAGTTGCCTTGAAATACCTTTAGTCTCACAAAACTATTTGAACATATCAGAGAGGTATTCACGTCCCAGTCAGTACGAAGAGTCTTAATTCTTCGTTCTTTTTGGTTTTCAACTTCGGCCACAAAACATTTGAACGTATCAAGTGCTTCGTGTCGATGAGATAATAGGTACACATACCCAAAACGTGAATAGTCATCTATAAAGGTAATAAAATATGTAGCCCCATGACGAGCTTTTATATTTAAAGGCCCACAAATATCAGAATGGATCAGCTCTAAAGGATTTGATGCTCTTGATGCCTTACCAAAAGGCTTTTTAGTAGCTTTTCCGGCTAGACAAGGTTCGCATTTAGGCAATTTGACCTTAGTCAATTGTCCCAAATGTCCCTCTTTAGCTAGCCTGGACATTCTATTTTGACCAATATGACCACGTCGCGCATGCCATTTAACAGATTCATAATCAACATTGTAAAATGAAGCAAAAGCATGTGATGAGTCATTATAACTTTCATCCAAGTCAAGAACAAAGAAACCATTCTTTAAAATACCACTTCCGAATAAATTGTCATGATATAAAATGTCCAAACCACTAGTATTGAAGTTAAAGGAAAAATCAAGTTTTAACAAGGAAACAACTGAAAGTAAACAACTTCGCACCTCGGGTGCATAGAGAGTATCATGCAGGAGTAGTGTATTTCCACCATGGAGTTTGAGTTGGTATGTTCCAACCCCAAGGACATCTTCCTCGCTCCCGTTTCCTAACATGACAGTTTGAGTGCCAATAGAAAACTGGTGGAATTCCACAAATCCTGATTTTTCATGAACTATGTGCTTGCTTGCTCCCGTATCTATAATCCAATTAGGAATAGAATTAGCAACTAATGCATGAGAACAAACAAATAGTTCAAAAGAGTTAGTGGTAGAAGGTACCTTTTTTGGCTCAGCGCAATCATGAGCGAAATGACCTTTCTGTCCACAATTATAGCACTTCACACGCGCTATTTTCTTCTCCCTTTGGCCATGTGCCATAAGTTGTTTCTTTGATCCACCATTTGATCCAGAAGTTTGAGAAGGACTAGAAAATTTCTTTGCTCGTTTGTGCTTATTTCCCTTGGTTTGACTACCATGGGCAACAAATGCAACATTAGAAGGTGCTAACGTTCTCTGACGTTCTACTTCCATTTCAATATGTTTAGCGAGTTCTGAAAAAGTTTTTACATTCTCGCTATGAGCCATGAGGAGCTTGAAGTTCTTCCAATTCTCAGAATCATTTGGAAGTGAACGAACCACATTTACAACTTGCTCCTCATCAGATACATCTCGTCCTGCAGCTTTTAGGTCACGTATCATGGCACTCATGACACGCAAATGTTCGGCAACAGAGTGCTTAGGATCCATATTGTAATCCATCCACTTTAGGTTCAAGGCACGGAGCCTAGTAGCCGAAGTTTGCCCGAAGGTGACCTTAAGCTTGTCCCACATGTCTTTAGTCGTGAGACAATTCTCAAACTCTCCAATAAGGTCATTATGCATGCAATACAACATAATATAACGAGCAGAACGATCCTTTTTGGACCATGTTTCATAGGTTGTCAATTCTTCCTTGTACTGCGCACTAGCAGTATCCTTTGGTTCAATCACAGTAGTGGACAAGGTTTCCAAAACCTCGCGTTCATTAAGAAGATATTGAATCTTCCTATGCCAGATGTCGTAATTGGTACCATCTAGCTTTTCGTTGGAGGAAAAATCTCCAATCATAGATTTAGTTGTCATCTACAAGTATATAAAATGGATATTAGGCATGAGGGCAATATAATTAAATTATCACTTTTATTTTTGTTTATGCCATGAGTTCGAAAATTTCGCCAAGCTCATAATCATCACAAATAACACAAACAAAAATAAATATAATTTAATTAACATTATTCTAATGAAACATATTCATTTATTCCTGTTATTGTTTAACAAATAAACACAAATATAAATATCAGAAAGATATTTAAGTCTCATAACATGAATAACATATATTCATGTATCATATTAAATAAATATAAACATTACAAAGATATTTAAGTTTCATAGCATGAATAACATATATTCATGTATCATATTAAATAATTATTTAAATATCACTTGATAATTTAAATAACAAGAAGCATATACAATATTACTAAAATATTAGTTTATTCTTTTCACCTCAGATACCCCCATCACTCCCAAACCATCCTCAGCTGCCTCTACATCCTCGAAGCTCCCACCTCACTCTAAAGCCATTGAAGTAGCTTCAACCAGTCCACCCAACCCAGAAGCAACAAAAGACATGGATTTTGAACCCTCACCAGCTCCTTTGGCAATAACTTCAAACCAGACCACAGCAATCCATCCAGAAGGGAAGCTTAAGGGGAAATTAAAAACTTGGAAGAGATCATCCAATAAGGAAGGCAGACTTCTCAGACAAATTGCTGATCCTATCAAATCTGCCACACCTGTAAGTTGCAAGAGACAGAGATCTGAGGACAAAGGCATTGTTATAGAGGGGGACAGCAAAGTTGTTGTGCAAGCAGAAGGGAAGAAACTCAAAGTTGTTGTGGAAAAGCTGGGGGTGGCCAGCCTCGATTGGCACCCAAGTGACAAATGTTAGCTGCAGTGTGGAATTGTAGAGGGCTGGGTGGGCCCTCTACAGTTTCCCAAATCAGAGAGTCACTAAGGACTCACCACCCACTGTTCTTTTTTCTTTCTGAGACAAAAAAATCTCATGCTTTTGTTAAGTCAGTTAGTAGGAAGTTGGGTTTTGAAGATAGACAAGCGATAGTTGATTCTCAAGGTACAAGTGGGGGGTTGCTTCTCCTATGGGATCCCTCAGTTACAGTTCATCAAGTTTACAGCAGCAGCTTTTTCATTGCAGTTCATTTTCAGATCAATCAGCGGGAAAGTCAGTGGGGAATCTTTATTTATATTAGTCCTTACAGAAGTCAGAGGTCTGAACAATGGCAAGAATTGGAAGGAGAAAAACAAAATTGGGGCTCCAAATGGTTCATCATAGGGGACTGGAATGACCTGTGTGCTCAATCTGAGAAAGCTGGAGGAATTCCAAGAAGTGAAAGCAGCTTGCTGGGTTTCAGAAGCTTTATTGATAATATGGACATGCTGGAAATCAGAATGGTTGGGTATGGCTTTACTTGGTGTAATAACAGAGTTGCTGAAGGTCTAGTAGAGTAGAAGTTGGATAGAGCCTTTTGTTCTGTTGACTGGTTGAATGAGTTTCCAAATGCTGTGGTTTCAAATGTGGTGAGGAGTGCCTCTGATCACTCTATGATTTTGTTAGATCCTGGCCTGCCTTCTGACAAAAGGAGGAAGAGGTTTCACTTTGACAAAAGATGGCTGAGCAAAGATGGAGTCAGTGAGATTGTCAATCAGGCCTGGAGTCTCCCTGTCCTTGGCACTCCATTTTTTCAACTAAAGGGTAAGGTGAAGAATGTCAGGATAGCTTTACTCCAATGGAGCTCAAAGTTTAAAACTCAAAACCAACAAAAAATTGAAGTACTGACTCATCAACTGGAAGTTCTGAATCTTGACAAGACTGAGGAGAATTGGGACCATTGGATCCATACTAGAAAGGAGTTAGAAGAGGCTCACCTTCAAGAAGAACTTCATTGGCAGCAAAGATCTCGACTGAGGTGGTTGAAGGAAGGAGATAGAAACACTCGTTTCTTCCATGCCTATACCAACCAAAAAAGAAGAATGAATGCCATTACAAGACTTCTCACTCCTCAAGGCACATACATCACCTCTCAACAAGAAATGGCCACCCACATCTCAGAATTTTACTCTTCACTCTACTCCACAGAGGGTTCTTTGGGAGGTGACTCTATCCTCCATCTCATTACTCCATCCATCACAGCGGACATGAACCTGGCTCTCCTCAAGCAAGTTGAAGATGAAGATGTAGGGGCAGCTCTATTCAGCCTGGATCCTGAAAAAACTCCTGGTGAAGATGGTATGAGTGCACTTTTCTATCAATCTTTCTGGTCTACCATTAAGCAGGATTTAATTGCAGCTATTAAGAGTTTTTTTCAATCTGGGCAACTTCTTCAATACTGGAACCACACTATTCTTTCTCTTATTCCTAAATGCCCTAACCCAGAGAACTTGAGCAACTTTAGGCCTATAAGTCTATGTACAGTGGTGTATAAAATCTTATCTAAAATTCTAGCTCAGAGACTGAAAACTTGTTTGCCCAGCTGCATTAGTGTATGTCAATCTGCTTTTTTGGAGGGGAGGCAATTGGTTGATAATGTTATAATTGCCCAAGAAGTGTTCCACTTTCTCAACAGGCACAACACTGGCCCAAACTATTTCATGGCTTTAAAAATGGATCTTATGAAGGCTTTTGACCGAGTGGAATGGAACAGCATCAAGCAAATCATGCTTCAAATGGGCTTTCACCCGGATTTTGTTAAATTAATCATTTTCTGTATATCCTCTGCAACCTTTGCTTTTAAAATTAATGGTGATATCTCTGGTTTTGTCAAGCCCACCAGGGGCATTAGGCAGGGGGACCCTCTATCCCCCTACCTTTTTATCATTGTGGCTGAATTGTTGTCTGCTCTCATTTGTGATTCTATTGATAATGGCCTTCTGAAAGGTATCAAGTTGTCCAGGAATGGGCCACATCTATCTCATCTGCTATTTGCAGATGACTCTCTCTTTTTTCTGCAAGGCTGGGGTAGATCAAGCCAACATCCTCATGAACATTCTGGATAAATATAAGCTTTTCACTGGTCAGAAGGTCAACCTTCAGAAGTCAGGCATATTTTTCAGCAAAAATTCCCCTCAATCCCTAATATCCAACATCTGCAGAGCAATGCATGGTATTCAAAACCACAGATCCACCAAGTACCTTGGCTTGCCTCTGGGCATTGGCAGAACAAAAAAGGAGGTCTTTTCTTATCTTCTGGACTCCATCAAAAGCAGACTTCAGGGCTGGAAATCCAAGCTGTTATCAACTGCTGGGAAGGAAACTCTCCTCAAAGCAGTTATTCAGGCTCTCCCAGTCTTCACAATGACATGCTTCAGACTCCCTATCACTCTTTGTACTGAGATTTCTAAACTCTGTAGTCGATTCTGGTGGAACAAAGGGGATCAACACACAACAGGACTTCCTTGGAAAAGCTGGGATAAATTGTCATTGCCTAAATCTGAAGGAGGTCTGGGGTTTTTTGACTTAAGGCTGTTCAATGATGCTCTTATCTGCAAACAGCTCTGGAGGATTGCTACCCAACCAGACTTACTTGTCAGCAGAGTCCTAAAAGATAGGTACTTTCCACACACTTCAATCTTTAATGCTGTTAGAACTCAAAGTGGTTCCTGGACATGGAATTGTTGGCTGCATGTATTACCTGTTTTCTCTCAATGACTTAAAACTGAAATAAGGGATGGTGCTGCAACAAGAATAGCAGATCTGAACTGGGTTCCTAATCTATCTAAACCAAAGCCTGTTCTGCTTGAGTTAGCAAGGGATCATCTCATTTGGGTGAAAGACCTGATGTTAAGTCATGGCCAGGGGTGGAATGAATGGTTAATTAGGCAAGTGTTTGATGAAGAAGATAGTCAAGCTATTCTGAATATTCACTCAAACAAACCTGATAGGCCTGACAGACTCTACTGGGGACTTGAACCTAAGGGAGTATTCACTGTCTCTAGCACCTACTCCTTTATGGCTCACAGGAAAGTGCTAAGATTGGATCAACCTCAAGCCAACTCCTCTTCAAACTCCATGAAGAAAGGATTCACCAGACGTTGGCAATTAAAGATTCCTGGCAAACTCAAGCATTTCATCTGGAAATGCATCTCTGGGACCCTGCCCACCTCAGTGAACCTATACAAGAGAGGAGTTGAGATTGACACTACTTGTTCTTATTGTAGGAAGGCTCCTGAATCCATTGAACACCTTCTGTTTCACTGCCCGAGGGCCCAACATATCTGGAAATTATCTCAAATTAGCTGGGAAGGGATATCACATTCTGAAGACTCCTTCAAACACTGGTGGCAGCAGGTTTGCATCTTGGACAACTCAGACATATCAGAGGCTAGGATTCAATTAACAACATACATGCTCTGGTGGCTCTGGAGATCCAGGAACCTCTGGCTGTTCCAAACCACTAATATGCCAGCCCACATTGTCTGCAAGGTAGCTCATAAGGAATGGCAAGAGTTCTCTTCAATCTCATAGACAGTGGTGTTGGCCCCTCTGAAGACTGGTTGCTTAGTGTTTTTTGTTCAGTTCTTGATGTTTTCTGTAGTTATTTTCCTTTATTTGTTGCTTTAGCTCGTAGTTTGGATTCTTGAAATGGGGGTTGATGCTAGGCAGTTTGGCAATGGCTAGACCTCCATTTCTTTGGTTTTTATTGTCTTTGAGTGCTTCATGGTTTTAGGCTCTAGGCCACTTTGTTAGTGTGCCTCTCAGTTTTATGTTTCGGTCCATTCGGGGGTTCCCCTCTCTATATGAACTTTAATTTTCTTGAGATATATAGATTCCTCTATCGTTCCGGAAAAAAAAAAATATCACCACTTACAAATGCAATTCAACAAGATATAAACGGGCTAGGGTATCGGGGATAATCGCTTCCGGTTCTACACACATTTATCGGCATTCAATAACTCGGTTAAATGGCTCGACTAACTAACTCATTTAGCGGTTTAACCTCACTAACTATCGTAATATAAGGATAAACATAAAAGAGCAAATTAACGAAACAATTAACACATAGACACTACGTCTCCGAACATGTCTACTCTAAACGAGCCAAGTTCCATCAATTTCTCCCCTCTCAGTTTTGAAATCGATTATTCTACGGCTTCTCCCCTATCAGTTCTAAAAGTCATATATATCTCTTATCTATATATGAAGAAGTTAAGCCTCTTCTATGAGTGACACATGTCCAATTTTGTGTTCTTAAAAAACTGCCACGTGTCCAATTTTATTTACAATTTGAGCTACTTTGTTTTGCTATTTTGGTTGCACTATTTGCCCATTTCGTGGCTTCCAATACAATTCATTGGTGAATTTAATTTCTGTGACCTTTTGCCAGAATTCCGGGTCAACACAATCCCTTTCTCGCACAATTCTCGCACACGCAAGTTGGATGGAGACGGGAGCAGGTAAAATCCCTCTTACAAACCCTACCCAACCAAATTACTCTCATTTACAATTCTCAAAAGAATTACAATGACGACGCGGATGATGACACTACCAGCCCACCGACTCAGCCAGCTCCGGCAACGGCTTTATCAAGGGTTTCTTCGCCTTCTCCCGCCGAGAATTGAGCCCTAGGGCCTCCGACACCTCCTTGGAGCTCCACCCGCCTTTTTGGAGCACATCGGAGAACCGATCCGCTTTCAGCGGCAGGACGTCCATTATCATCTGGTTGTCGACCATCACCATCCCGCTATCAAATAAACCCGACACCAGTACCCCAGATTCCAACCATCCGCCCTCCCTCTGAACCGGCCCAATTCCGGTCACGTAGCCGTCAGACCCATGCAGGCGCCTCGGATGTCAGCATGTCGATGTGCTTCTCTGGTGAGGACGAGGACGAATTTTAATTCCTACGCCAGACTGTTGTGTCGTTGCTCAAGATTCATGAAGAAGAATCCGATTGGGAAGGTGAGAACAAATCGCTTTGCAGTATTGTTCTTTTGAGTTCATGCTGTTTTTTCGCTGCTCCATTTATTTTGAGATTTCTCTCATTAGATTCTCTTGCCTGAAAAACCCGATTACTGTGTTTTCGAGAGCAATTGCGTGTTTATATAATTGTTGTGGTGGAATATTTAGGTTCATGTTATTCATATGATGAATAAATTGATGTTCTAGGTGATGGAATTTTAGTTCAAACATAGTTTGAGATACTTTAGAATTCTGCACAGAGTTGATAGATCTCTTTTATTTTTATGGTTGCTTTGTTTTTCCTTGGCAACATATGGAGTTTTGTTTACTGTGCCCTGCTCTAAATGCATTCCATCCCTTTGTTTCCCTACTTGCCATATTTGACGCAGACAAATTAAAATGAAGAACTAAAAAAGATATGAGGGAAAGAAGAGGTTTGTTGTACATCCCCAGTTTTACTTGATATGAAAGTCAAAACTATTTTCTTCCTGCAGGTATATCTATGGAGGGTGATGACATACTTTTGATGGAAATGTCTCACCAAAGAGAGATGAATATGGATGACCACATTACTCCTGAAAAAAAGGTAACCTAACTCCTTATTCTTTTCTCTACCCGTTTTTTCTTTCTGTTTCAACTTTTATACCTATCATTTTCCTGTACACTTGCATATTACTTATATGTATGGCGATGTGTTTCTTATTGAGTGGCAAAGAACGAGTATCCACTAATATCTATTGTGGTTAATTACCTGATGCAGATCTGTGACTGGTGTCCTGTATGCAAAAGAAAAGAGAGCGAACTGTGATTTGTATTGATATTTTTTCAAAATAGACGTCAAATGTAACAACCATGTGTCTTGTTCCTTCTTAACTGCCTGAACAGACAAAAATCCTTATCAATTATGGAGATTATGGTTTCCTGCACTTTTGTGATGCCGTTCTTTTTCTTTTTTCCTTCTTTTTGTTTTTAGCTTGTACTATGTGCAGCCTGGTATATCCATGCACTCCACGAGAACATTTAGTAAGAGCTCAAAAGAAGGACGTAGTGATACCAGTGCTTGGACTGACACGGCTTTAGAATGAGCTCAAAAGGCAAAGATGAAGTATGTCATAAACTACATAACTAACCCCTACACTTAACATAATAAAAAATAAATAATCAATGCTTAAAAGTTATGAAATGCTCTGTTATGGTATAATAACTACCTTCCTGATGATTGTAGTCACATTTATGAACAAATATCAGTAGGGTCATTTTTAATTTTATTATATATTTTTGGCTGGACCTTGTATTTTGTGGCCAGTTATTTAGAAGCGTACAATGAGGCCACAACACTTGCTTCAAACGAACAGGGGAAGAAAAAATCGAACCCCGATGCGGAACTGGTCTCCGATGGTGATTTTCTTTAACCCAGTTCTTCAGCTGCATCTAGATCTGGTCGGCGTAACTCGGCTTTTAGGTTCTATCCATGAAATGCTACGAAACTTGCTCTATAATATCACATTTGTGATGCATTTCTTTATCACTGAGTTTTTTTGTTGGGCTTTTCTAGCAAATATCTACATTCATGCTTTATCTCAATAAATTTGACTTATTCAAAAAGAAGTTTCTAAAAATAAGGAGTTATAAGAATGTCGCATGTTAGACCTAAGAGGACACTTGTATGAGATTGGATTACAATTCATTTTATATATTATTTTTTTTATATTAAACTCCTCTGAATGTATGTGATATGTTCAAAGATTATCATCCAGTATCTAATTAATACCAAGAAACTGAGAGTGCATATAAGTAAATGGTTTTCTTGCGTCTTCTTTTCAGAATGGAAGTTGTAGAATACGCTTGCTTTAGGTATTATAGTCTTATAGCTTCTATGTATCTTCTCGTGAGTGTTATTTATAATTTTTTGTTCTCAGTTTCTATATGAATCTGTGACTCTGTGTAACTGTGTCCAATTTATATCCTTTTTTTTTTGTTATTGCTAATATATGTGTTTTAATTACATACGTATCAGACATGAAAGAAGCTGAGGTTTAATTCTCTTCAAATGGGTTGTTCGATTTTGATTTTGTGTGTAAAATCTGTCAACTTTCATTTGGTGTTAGTTGGATACTTCATAGTATAGATTGGTTGCGATGATTAAGTTAACTATTTCTGTAATTGTATAATAGCTACAATAATGTCCAGTAATTTTTTTTTTTTTTTTTTTTGGTGTGTGTGTGTGTGTGAAAACATCGATCTTTGCGTGAGGTCGCTAACAGTTGTTCTTAAACATGACTTGGGATTTATATATTGATACCTAAGTTTGGTTTTATTTTATTTTTTTATTTTTTTGTTCTTGTACTTTTAGGCAATGTTCTTTCTCTTGCAGGACCGTGAAAGTTGAAAGATAACTTATACCAGATTTTAATATGCCTATGAATTTTAATAACTTTTACTGTATTCAAATCACGGCCCATCTAAAACTTGAAAAACAGCCAAGGCTTGTATATGAAATAAAAGGAATTTTTTTATCTCATAAATGAATTTTCTTACAAAGTTGCTGGCTTGGCGGAAAATTTTCCGTCAGACAGTTTGATGCAAGTTTTGCTCATAAATTATAACTACAATCTATACGAACATAACTTCTTTTCCTTTTTCCTTTTATCACCATCCTCCCCAGTTTTGATGGCTTAATTTACTTTTATTACCGGTCCTTAGTGCTTGTGATTCAACAAACAGCTAATTACTTTCCATGTACATTTGCAGGTTAAAGCTTTTCTTAGGGGAGATTCTATTCCATTCTCGGTCGGACTGTTCGAGGGTATAGCATCCTAGGTGAACATGTACACTCAGTGTAATAATATGAGGATCTTGAAACAATGTCAAGTTATACATAATAATGTAAAGGGTTGCAGCAACTGCCTAAAAAGCTGTGTAATGAGGTCTTTGTGGTGAAAAATTATTTTGTGAACAAACAGTGTTGAAAAGAATACAACTTTTTATAAAACCTTTTTGTAATCATTTTGTCGGGCTTTAGAGAGCTCTTGTTAGTTGTGGTGAAAATTGGAGACTTTATGTGTACTCAGTTGAAGATTTCAAATTTTGTTCAAATTTATTTAACATAAACTTTATTTGTATCAAATTTATTTAACATAAACTTTATTTGTATCAAATTTAGTAACAATGTTTAAAACATATATATAAATTAGACTAATCATTTTAAGAGACGACAAATTTTCATTATATTTTAGACCAAAATATGACCTGCAACAAGTGATGACAAATTTTTAGTGTATTTTTAGACTGAATTTGAGAATTTTTAGTGTATTTTTAGACTGAATTTGAGTCCCTCGTGCGTGCACGGCGTAACCCAACTAGTATATATAGCCGAAACCATCGAAAGGCGGCTCGGGTTTTAGAGCGTGGAGGATACCGACGACTCTAAGTTCAGTCCACAAAATATTATTACAAATCATCTAATTACTATTCTTTTACAACCACTAAACTTCAAACCTTGCTTTTAACAATGATTATACACCCAACAAACAGTCGTACATATGAGGACATTTGGGTGAACCAAATATATCGGAAAATGGTAAATTCATTAAATTCGTCAACAATAGATAATAATATTAGTTTTTATAAAACATTTCCACATATATATATTCATAATAACAAAATGAACTACCTTGTTCTTTTGAGTAGAATTATCGATATCTTCACTTGGTTGGTGCGCGGTCGACTTTTTCTTCAACTCTCGTTTCATCGAAAAATTGCGTCGACGCGTACGGATTTTTGGGTCAAATTTCGGGATATCGGAGTCCATCTCACTGTCATCATTTTAGATATTCGCACCCACTTTACTTGAATGCTCTTCTTCATGTTCATCAAGTTTGAAATGTGAATCGGACTCATGTTGATTTTTTGGAGAATTAACAATTTTCGCTTTATCCTTGTTTTCTCGAACCCTCTTCTTCTTGGTGTCGTCGGGCATCTTATTTTTTTGTTTGATTCTCTGTTCGGACACAAAATCGTCGTCGCCGTCCGAATTAACCTCGATCGTCTTGGGATTTGTTTTTTTGGCATGGCTCGAAGCTTCAGTTTTCTGAAACTGGAGCTTCTTTTGAACAACCTTACGCTCGGGAGGTTGAAATTGAGACATGCGATCAGATCAGGGAGCGAGTTAATCTTGTTTCGTCTTCACTGTTGGGGAATTTGGCCTCATTTTTTCTTCATTTGCCATCAAACAATTTTTCCTTGGGAAGAGTTTTGTTTGTGTGTTTATGGGAGATGGAGTTTTTTTGTTTTCTTCAAAAGATAATTCACTAGAACCGAGATATGGAGAGAGAAAGGCTGAGCCTATTTTCATAACAGTATGATGATTATAATATGATAAAGAAAATAATTAACAACTAATAAATATCAAACCACAAACCATTACACATAGTTTTGTAACAAAAATCTTTACTTATATTTCTTTATTTATATTAGTATTTAGAGTGACATTTCAATTTAAAAATATGTCTACATTTCAATTTAAATATGTCTACTAATGTTAAGCATACGCAACAGTCAAACAAATCTCTTGCTTAACATTAGTGTTACTTATATCATCCCGTCTCCTTTCACTAGTAGTTGTTTTCCACCTTCTCCTTACCCTCAATTCTTTCACAAGNATAGAAAAGGGAAGAAAAAAAATGAAACCCCCATACCAATACTGAAACGAAAATAGATGTCTGATCAAAGCTATGCAATTTTTTTTGGAAAAAAAATAAAAAATAAAAAATGTTGACGGCATAGTAGAGAAATGAGCCAGCAAGCACTTACTAGGAAAACTTCACAGAGTCGCATACAACCAAACTCAGTACCAGGGGTGTCGAACGAACTATCCCATATTATTTTATAAATAAAAGAGCAGAAAGTCCAGTTTTTTTCCGACTCATGGAGCTCACTCACGAATAGCCCAATAAACATCTAAAACAAAATTGAAATTAGCACAGGCGATGCACATATTACATCAATGCAGGTGAAAAAACTGTGCAATGTTGCATCAATTGAAGCGCAGAATACTGGAGTGAAAATGTCTCATTATACTGCTATTCTGGAATATCATATGAGATAAATAGCCTTCAAGTATGTCTTTCCAAGAACTTTTCTATCACGACAGAAAATGCAGCGAAACCAGCACACCCAGCACAAGCTGCTTTTGGCCCCCCTGTTANAAAGGATGACTATATATTAGCTTTTATAAAATGTTTTGAAAAAAATTGATCTAGGTGCACTTCAGAAATTTCCAGCATCAAGGTCCATTAATAATCATCTAGGAGTATCTAATTCCAGGGGTGGAAAGAGACAAAACCCTGTTCAAAAACTATCATTCTAATTCCTCACAATTATCAAATGGGAGTTAGCATACAACCAGCTTTTCCCAAGGTACAGTAACATTGAATCTTCCTTTATGATAATTACATTAAAGTACAAGAATTTAACTTAAGTAAAAAGGATATATGGATAAAATTTACACTGCATGGACTGTCAACAGGATGTGCAAGTGAATTCCTCTTCAGCAGTATAAAACATAATTTTAGCACAAGTGATCATGTGACATTAATTTTATTCTACACGTCTCTTATTTCATTCCCTAAATCTAAAGGTAAATTGGAGCCACATGTTGAAAAAATCTTGAACTTGAAATGCAAAAGACGGCAAAATGTTAAAAAAGGATTACCTCTAGCTGAAATTGCGCCACCAGTTACGCATCCAGCAACAACCGTATTCGTAATATCGTGCTTGGCTCGGGCCTTCAGTAAGTCAACTCAAACTTAATTATTTTTTCCCAAATATACAAAAATTCATTCCGTTCCATGGTAAATAAATAAAATTACCTTCTCGACAACACATTCAGATGCAGAAAAGACAAAGCCCATAACGGCAAAAGCCTTGCAGGAACTCCAGCTCCTACGGCCCATCTGCTTTGCCTGGTAAATCAATTGTTGTCTTCCTGTCATCTCGTCTTGCATTAGTGGATTATCGAGTGCCCCGAGAAATAATCCCATGAACAGCCCCAATCCACCTCCTGTGGACAAGTAGAAGTCAAACTTAACAAATTCAATGCATCATTCTTTCTACTTACTTAGTGCTTTTCATATTTCTCTTCAGAAGAAAAAAAAAAGAGAGAAACGGGATTCCTAAGAAAAATACCCATGACACCACTGACAACACTTCGGACAGCACAGTTGTTCCATATGTCCTGGCCTCGAATTTCCTCTACTGTAGGCAGGCGTATAGGTTCGATCTGGGGCGTTGGTGCTTCTTGTGTGCTTGATGAGGCATTTTGTTCATTGTCTGGATTGGAACTCATTAGAGGAGCCTACACAACAGTTGTGGGTTAAGTGTTCTGTAAATCAAATTAAAATAACAATCGTATGGAATTGGACTAAAAGACGAGAAATGTGATCTTTTCACTCTGTGTGTGTGTGTGTGTGTTTTAAGAACACATGGACTAGAATATCTCAGGTAGTTTGTACAAGAAAATCCTATTACTATTTCGTTCCACCAGACTGGAAATACAACTTTCAGTTTCACATTATCATATTTCCTTCTCATGCTTTTATACGCAGACAAAATCATTGTCCCAGAAAATAGGCAATAATCAGCATCAAGCTACGAATTCTGTAGACCGTGTGCGGGAACTAACCAATAATCACGGTAAGAGATCCCCTTCAAAAATACAGCTACGCAACATATCAAACGAGTTCCCTCTAAAAATACAGCTAGGCAAACTATCAAACACCTTTAGTGCAAGAAATGTACCCACTTACAAACTATGGAAATGCATTTATCATTCACACACCATCTGAGCAGCAGAAAAACCAATTCAGCAGAAACTTAATCCCACCAAATGGTTATGACTTCCTATACTAATCAAACAAAATAACTCCAGTATTTAATACCACACCTAAAAATACTAGCGCCTGGCAGGTAATAACGTTGTTTAGGAGCCTATAATGTAAACACAAGCGCCAAATCCGAGTTTAAGAAAAACTGAATAGAACTTGTAAAAATCGTACCTTGGAAATGATGTGACGGTTTAAGCTACGACGCTGGGATTTTTTACCGGTGGTATCTCTTAGACCCGAAAGGATTTGAAAGAGATTGGTGGGCTTTAGATGTGAAATGAGATAAGTGGGGGAAAATGCTAAATAGCCGTTAAAAGAACAAGAATCATCAGCACAGCAACTAGGTTTTGGATATGCGTGGCGAAAAAGAAAGAAAAAATTATACTCTGCACCAAAGTTATCGTTTTTATTTACATCCTTACAACCCATATGTATTTATTTGTTTATTAACTAAATTGATCAACTTTATTTGCAAAGATACCTAAAGCACAATTTTAGGGAACTTTATCAGTTACTAAAAAATTATATTCCTATATTTATGGTAGTAATCTCTCTCCCATATCTTCTCATTTTTCTTTCCCGTCACTTTTCTGATCTTTTTTATTCTTCCATCTTCTTCCTTCTCTCATCAACTCACAGCCAACCTCCAAAACGCCATCCTCCGCCGGTGAGAGTAGCGAAAGCGACATTATTTCCTTATCTGACTTCGACCGTTTTTGTTCGAGAACTGGGGAATATTATGATTCTCCTCAGAGGCGGCGTTTCTGTTCGAGCTGTGTGGATCATCGATTTCCTGCTGTTGCAGAACCTCCGTGGCTCAACCAAGCTCTTCATAGCCGCCGGCTCCGAGATCGATTTTTGACAGTCAATGATGGAGATGGTGGACGCGCGGGCGGGGGACGATGGGTTTAGTTGGATTGTCTTTTTGCATGAAAGATGAAATTAATACTTAGGGATTTTGGATTTGGTGTGATTTTGCTGGTGAAAATTTCTGAAACAGTGGTGTGCGTGCTTACAGGGACGATGAATAAAAGGGGCAGAGAAAATATATATATACCCACTGAGTATACCTTTTCTGCTCTTTCCTTGTTCATAGGTGTAATCCGAAATCCAACATAAACCCAACATATACCAACTCGACCATATACAATGAGTATATCTTCTGTATATGTTCCCGACAAATATACCGTTTTTTAGTATATGTTAAGGTTGACAGTATATTTTTAGTATATGTATATGAGTACGATTTCAACTTGTTTTATATACTGTCAATATACATAATTTTATCTGATTGTCGTCAGCAAATTGTTTTTTTTTTTGTCAATTTGGTATAATAGAATATTATTGCAACATATACAGAATATATACTAACTATAAACGCATTATAATTTAATGTATACATATACTGAATATAATGTTTAATATACGTTTAATATCCACTATTAACATGATGCGATTTAAAAATTAAACAAAAAACATTTCGACAAGTAAAATATATGATTGTTTGGCGAAATATGTTTTCAATATTATGGGATTCGTGTATGAAAAGTCGTTTGTATTTCAAATTCATAATATTTCCTATTTGTATTGAACAAAATCTTAATTAATAGGAGAGATTGACTTATCATGTGTATATATGAAAGGAGAGAGAGAGAGAGAGAGACATTGGATATGACCTCCACAAATCAAGGAGTCGTTCACATTTCAAGTTTGGTAACTGAATCTTAGCATTTTTTCAATTAATTGCCATGTAGTTGGTACAAATGCAATAAAATATTTGTCCATGATATATTTACAATTATTTCCAAACCGTTAAGTAAAGATAAAATTTTCCCGAAAAAGAAAACGGAAAGAATGAAAGAAAGAAAAAAACAGCAACAGGGGGGTTTTATTTTAACTTTGCAAATTGGCCCGAGACCGAGCCAGAGATTGCTTAGGGCCGGGTCATCAGACCGGCCCGGTCCCGCCGGTTCTCCGGCCCACGGGTCAATTAAAAAAAATTAAAATAAAAAAAAATGACTGTGGTCCTATCTTAGCCCGCGACCCGGACCGGATAGTTGGGACAAAAAAAAATAGGCTAATCGGGACCGAACTGCGACCCTTGTGGTCCGGTTAGACGAATCGGCCCTTATGTGGTCGGTTCAGGGCCAGTTCAGGACTGGTTTCGGTCCGGGTTGGCGGGCCGAGTCAGCCCGTGACCATGTCTAGACGGGGCTAGTCTGGGTAACCCAATCCAAAAATAACCCGCCCTGCCCAGGTTTAGGGGCTCCACCGATTAATAATTTTGACCCAAATTATTTAATAATTAGGTCCTTAAATTTAATTTGATTATTGGTTACGTCATCAAATAATAATATTAACGGGTGTCCACATTTAATCATTACACAATCTAAATTAAGTTTTTTAGAGAATGTACAATTATTTGATCACTTAATTTGGTTAAACAATATAATGACTCAATGTATCAATTACACATGTTTAATCCCAAAATAGATGTAACACTAATAGCAGGTCTGGGAGCGTGGGATTTTGTTAGTGTGGTTGGTTATTGAATAAAAATCAAAGAGAGGCATATGCATGTCTAGAGGGATTGAAAAATTACAGTGGACGAATTCGAAAAAATAGAGAAGTTTTTAGTGCCAACAAGCGTGATGATTTGGTGTGGTAGGAGAAATATGATAGATTGAAGTATTGATTATTTTTTATATTTGAGTAAAATTTTCTCTCTTCCCCAAAACCCCCCTTCTCAAACCCTTAGCCCCAAACCAGATCCAGCGGCGCCTCCTTCCGGCGGAGGCGCCGCACCTTCGCAATTAGACTGACATCGGGATCGTGATTCCTCCCAAGGCGACCTTCACTCTTCTCGGAATGCGTGGCGTCTCTGCTTGGGCGACTGACCATGGCGGTTTCAGGTAGTTTGGGGGTTTTTGTCCTGGTGGTGGCTTGACGGCCGGCGTCCTTGCCGTGTAGCGGTGGAGGGGCTGCGGTCGGCGGTAGTCTTGGTTCCCCTTTCCTGCTTCTCCGTGGTGCGAGGAGAGTGGGTTCTCTGGCGGGGGCGGTGGTGGTGAGCTCGCCGGATTGTGTGGGGACCGAGAGTAACGGTGGCTCCAGGTGTTGACCCGGCAGTGGTGTCTCTGTGGAGAGGGGTGGTATTGACGGTCCGGTACGAGTCTTATGACGTTAGGGTCCTCCTCGTTGCCGTGTATGCCGGTTACCTTGCCCTCTCTCGTGAGGTATTCCTTCCGGGCTCGGGTTCGAGTGGTGAAGGTGCGGTGCTATTAGCCTGCCGTGGAGGAGTTATTTGTGGTGTTCTCGTTTTGTGTGTCTTCTTTGTGGTGTATTTTTGTGATGTAGTGTTGGGTTAGGTTCTCCCGTTGGGAGTGTTGTTCTCCACTTGTGGGAGTTCTGTTCTCCACTTGTGGGAGTTTTGTTCTCCCGTGTGGGAGGTTTGTATTTTATTTGTTTCTTGTGGGTGAGTTGTGGTATTTAGGCTCCCTTTGGGATGTCCTCTCACTTCGGCCATTTGGCCGCCGACTTCGGCTGCTTTGGTCGATCTTTGTGTTGTATTTATGTGTGTTATTAATGAAATTCTATCGTTGGAAAAAAAAATAAAAAAAAAATGGTATTGATTCTGGTCTCAGTTAGTTATCATTATATTTCATTATATTGGTTGGTGGTTTGAAAGTTGTTGAGCTTTATTTTGTTTACATGGGCATCTTATTGGGCTGGACTAATGCTTGGAAGGTATATATTCGCAGTCCTAATTATCAAACAGGACGGACCCAGCCCGGCCTGTTATACAAACGGGGCAGGTCTGGCCTACCAAATTCTTCGGGGCAGTCCGTCCCCGGGCGGGCCCAAGTCGCTTTGTCATTCCTTGGATTTAGCCACCACATTTATTTAGGATGAGACTTCATACTAGACATAACCAAAATTGAACCGAAACTATTGAACCGGCCCTGTTAAATCTATTGACCACAAGCCTTCAATCAACCCGTGAATTTATCCAGGTCGATTCAAATTCAAGAAGAATAATTTTTTAACCCTGAACAAGCTCGTCGGCCCATTTCTATTTTATTTTTTTTATTTATTTTCAAAATTCAAATTCAAAATCGTATATTCAAGTCGTGTCCACGAGTTAGGCCTGAAACCAGAACCGTTTAAATATGGGCTGTTGGATCGTTTTGACCGACGGTGATCCAACTATCATTTTTTTTTTTAAATTATCGAAATCGCCGATTCGGCCCGGCAGGCATGTTTTGAACCGGAAACCGCCTCATTGAACGACNNNGACCTTATTTATCTATAAACAGACTTGTTCTTTCTCTTTTGTGTCAAAGTGAGATCTTCTACTAACATGAACGAGTTGTCCTCTGGTCTACCACGACTCGCCTGCCTTATCCCCCATTGGGAATTTTAACTTCAGTACGTGGATACTGAAGCCTGGAAAACATTTAGACTCGGCCTCCCCAATGTGATGTAGGCGGGTTCAGACTTCACCACCAAGATTCTTACCATCTTAACCTTCCTCAACGGAGCTTGCCCCAAAGCCAAGGCAAGTGTATTTCACCTACTGGTATTACCTCATAATGTGCTAACCGACCGAAGCTCTGCCTCCAGCTCCATCTGGCGAAAACATTCATATAAGATAATATCGACCGAGCTCTCAGTGTCAACGAAAATCCTTTGCACATCATACCTCGCGACCTCCGTTGTGACCACAATAGCATCATTGTGCAGGACCACTATACCACTCACGTCTTTCATCCCAAATTGTAAGACCATCGTGGGTTATGGGACCTATACTTGTTCCACCTTTTTTCACTTCCCATAACAATACTTTTGTACATTATTGGAGTCACCATCTGTTCGGTCTCATGCTATCATATGAATGACCCCCCTTGTTCGCTAGTCTATCTTTTGGGTTATGACGTCATCTCCTTTTTGTCCGAACTTTGTTTATCCTCCTTATTATTCTTGTCCTTATACACAAATTATTTTAGATGACCAGCTCCTATAAGCCGCTCCATCTCATCCTTCAGCTCCTTGCAATTGTTCGTCGAGTGGCCATAATCACTATGATATCTACAGTGGGTCATTTTTTGTAAGAACGTAACCCTGCCTCTTGGGTAATGACTAAGGTCTCTCGAGCATACTTGTGTCTCTCCTTCTTTCCAAGGTCTTGTAGACTGCCCTTTTGGTAGAGTTAATGGTGCGTAGTGTTCATACTTGAAGCCTAATTGACCTCGGTCCTCTACTTTATTTTTCCTACCTCCTGCTGTTTTCTCATCTGGTCGTTGCATCTCTTCTTGATGTTTCACCTTCTTTTTATGATTCTGAAGGAAATGGTTCTGCGCCTCTTCCATATTTATGTATTTTGAACATTTCTCCAATAGCTCATCATATGACCTAGCCAGCCTTTTGGCCAGCGAATTTCTGCAAGGTCTCAATTGGAGACTGCTAGTCAATCCTCCCGCCTTTATCTTCTTATAAGCTGATGGGACCTCCATGCAAGCTCGTGTATAACGATCTATGTAGTCCTTTAATGAATCGTGTTCGCATTTTGTCATATTGATCAACATCCATGCACTACAAAACAGATTCCTGAACAATGAGCTAAAAATGTCGACTATATATTGACCCCACCGGAAGCTGGTGAAACCTATCTTGTTTCAACTCTTTCAAAGTTGTAAAAAATGCCAGGAACGAAACCGTATCAGTATACCAATGAAACAATGCTATACTCCCAAAACCTTGTAAATGTCGAGCCAATTCTATTGAACCATCATAGATGAGGTCAGGCTCCCTAAAATTGTGCAGTAAGTCAGCGTCCAGGACCTGATTTGCGAAAGGGTGGCCCTGAATTCAGGGTTGTCGCCTACCATCCACCTTCGCTTGGAGGTCACACAATTACATCGTCATTCTTTCCAAAGCAGTATCTCGACCCGGTTGAGATGTTGTGTTGTGCAAGTGACAGACCTCTCATCTCCATCCTCCCTTCCCCTATTGGGAGGCGGTTGTTGTGCACCTTGGTTTTGAGGGGCCTAAGCTCAGGCTACAACTTATACATCATTTTATCCAATTCCACTCTCGTCAACTTTATGACATGTTCACCTTCTCTCGTTCCAGGAGAGATTTTAGGGGATATCAATGTCGCACCTACTCCTCGCGTCATCCTTTAACCCTAGGCGCGTGGGTATGTAAGAACGCCAATCCATCTTCGCCCCCCTCATTAGTTAGAGCAACGTGTGTGGGTGTCTGAGTCTGGTTGAAATCCTCTTTCCCCTTAGTAGAAATCACGCCTACTGGTTCCGCTTATGGTGTAATGTTGCCTTTCAACATCGAAAAGCTAGTTCTTGGCGTGACCTACACACCTTATTCACTCGACCAACCCGGAGGCAGCCTTAGGCCGATAGCCAATTTAGAAACCCATACCTCGTCCATTTTCTGGCTGAGATTCTTCCTTATATTCTCGTCTTCTATCATGATCTTCCTAATTGGTTTATGAAATTTGTTTAAAGAAAAAGACATAGAAATTGAGAGTATTCTAAAAATTTGCTAGAAAAAACCAAACATGATCATCTTTCTAAAATATTTCAAGAATAAGTAAAAAAACTCTACATGCTTCAAATTAAAATAGAAATAAGCCATTAATACTATCAACAAAATTTATAAGTTTGTTAAACATGAAATATTATGGAATAACTATCAAAAGAGAATATTTCACGAATAAACCAATATATTTTATCTGTATAAATTATCAATCTATAGGAAATTTATTATATATTGTTCAAATTGAATATAAAATGATAATGGATCTAATTTTAGAAATTGTGAAATATATTGGTAGTATTGAAAAATATAAATAATTGATGGGCCGGAAAGAGAATATTATGGAAATATTCTTTTCGGTTTGAGAATGAGTTTGTCGGTTGGAAAAGAATTACTGTTTGATGTGGCAATCACTGCAAAATAGGTTTGAGAATGAGTTTTTCGGTTAGAGATAGTCTTACCTTCTACACTCACATCCTTTTCATAGGTTTTCCTGGACAAAATTTAAAAAATGGTCCACTATGTTGGCCATTTTCCAAAATATGTTCATCATATAGGGCGTTATAGAAAATGGTCCACTAAGTTGTCATTTTAATCAAAATTCGTACAAAAACCAACATAGTGTACTAAAAGTAATTGCCATTTTTAGTACACTATGTTGGCTATTGTACGAGTTTTGATGAAAAGTGACAACTTAATGGATCATTCTTGATGACACCCTATATGATATCGTTTTTCGGAAAATGGCCAACATAATGTATTAAAAATGAAATTTAGTCGGTTTTCCTCCTAGACCGTTGACTTGAGCTATTAACTCGACTTGATTGCCAGGTCACACATTACCTCACTTTAGGTCAAATATCTTTTACGACCAACTTGTTAGGTCACCACCTACGATGCATGACCTACTCATCAGGTCACTCGTTAAACCACCTAACCTATCTTATAGGTCTTCGCATAGCTCTCCTTGACTCATCTATCAGCCGAACTCCAGTGTCTTTGAGCCGGCCTCTGAGCTAACTAGAACTGCTCAATTCACTGAATAAGCAATCAGATAATTCACCTATCTATTTAAATACAATCGACCATGAAGCGGAAATTAAGGCATTGTTGTGTACAAATTGTTATTTTTACCGAGTACCGAATCAAAAGATTCGTTCCCTGGGTCAATCTCTCGAGGAAGGCGATTCGGAATTTAGCTTTGATATCGATTACACACAAAAAGAAAATAAATCCTAAACACACTAATCAAATAGGGGGGGTTGAGCAATTACCAACTAAGAAATAATAAAAATCAACAATCTACCTAAAAATATAAACGAAACAAGAATAAAGAAGCTAGGGAGTCGGGGATAATTGATTCAAGTTCTATACGCAAAACCGGGATATTAATCGTGCTATTCCAGATTGACACTTTCCCTTAAACATCTAGTGGTTCACTCCCAATAACTCTTCGTAACAAGGTATTGAACATAGACGAGCAAGTTCGAGCATACAATACCGACCAATTATCCAGTCCCAATAACTTTTCGTAACAAGAGAAAAAGACGCCGGCAAGCATGTATTTCAATCCAAAATCCATAGATTATTCAGTTACGAAATCATCTACCTCATGCGAGCCTAGGTCTACGGCTTCTCCCCTTCCGGTTCTATAAGCCATTAATTAATTTGAAGATGATTAATAAACTAATCATATAGAATTGACAAACCCTAACTCGACAAATTAACATTCAATCATTTCCAATCACAAGATCGAAGTCACTCTTCGATTATATCAATCAATCAAGCACAAATTCATCAATTCCGAATTATATCAACTCACATAAGCATGAACAAATCAAGCCTGACAAATACAAATGAAATATAACAATCATCCCCTATCCCTAGCAAATAAAATTAGCTAAGTAATATCAGTTCAACACAATCCATCATCTCTCTCAATTCAACCATTATTCATGAATTAAAAATAAAGAGAAGAACTTACAATAAATCGCAATTTCAAGTGTTGAATTTGAATTACAAGCTTAATCCTTGAATACTAATAAAAAGAAGAAGAAAATTGAAAAATAACAATTAAGAGAAGAAAAGGAACGAAGAAGAAGAAGAAAAAAGAAGGGAAGAGAAAGAGTTTCGTGTTTTTCTCGAGACCTAGGGTTTTCACCCGATCGAGAGATAATGTGATATTCTGATAGCGATCCCATATTTATAGATAGGCGAGTGCCACAGCGTGGAAATCCTAGCACGGCTCGGAGAAGGGAAGCCTCGGGGCGAGGAGCTCAGTCACGGCGCGGCACAGGAAAGTCTCGCGGCACGGGGAAGGACGCGGCGCGGCAGACTGCTGGACGTGCTTCTCTGTTGGCCTTGTGGCGCGTGGCACAGCGCGGAAGCAGGGCCTGGCGCGGTGTGGCACTTCCTCACGGTGTGGCGCGGCGTGGCACTTCCTCACGGCGCGGGAGCAGGGCCTGGCGCGGCGTGGCACTTCCTCACGGCGCGGGAGCAGGGGCTGACAGACTGGTACTACTTCACGTTTTGGAGTCGTTCGGTCTCGTCTAGTATCGGAAATCGATTCCGCTTTTTCCTGTGTGTTGCCAACAAACTCCTCTATTCAATTACGCTTGCCTGAATAATTTTAACCTGAAATCCGATCCTCTCGAGGCTTCTGATCTGCACACCGAAAACGACAAGAAAAACGGAGAAAACGGAAAACCAAACGAAAAACACTGAAGTGACTCCAAATAGATAAAAACATGCAATAAACTACAAAACGAACTAAAAGACCTAAATTTGGAGAAAAAGAAAGAAAAAATAACTACGAAAAACGCAACAAAAATAAGACAAACGGGCATTATTAGCCCAAGAGGAGACTTTTGCTAAAAGCATTGTCTTTGCCAAAATTCAATTTAAACATCGACTCTGTTCGTGTACCAACAAATAGAAGATCCAGTAGAATTCAAACTGGTAAATCAACTGGAAAATGTTTTTCTAATCGAGGCCGAAATTCTATTTCACCCAATAGAAACATGCATTTATTTCATCAAATAATAGTGGTACACATTATCCGGATTGGACCCAGCAGTACAAGAAAAAGTCTTAAAACATCACAATGCAAGTTCAGACATGTTCACCACACAAATTTTAAGGAGATTTTGCCGAACAATTGACCCAGTCCACCGATTTGAGTGGCTTCACTTTGAGCACTGGATTGTAATCAAAGAAATTAGATGGCTTCAGCTCAAAGGAACCACTCAGTGTCGGCATGATCGGATAATCTTCCTGCACGGGCACATGATGAACACCCAATGTGTGCCACACCACAATATCCTTGTTCACAATGTCCAAATTCCTGTAATTAATAATCCAACAATTATGGAATATATCATATTAATTACATATGTGATTAGCAGTGTTGCTATGAAGGCAACAATTGGTTCCATAGTGAAACCAACTTTCTATATACAATAAGTAAATCATACTATATTAATAAAATTATTTAGTATTACTTAAGTAATCAGAGAGTTTAATATAATATGATTTACTTGTTGTATATAAGGTTGATCCCACTACGGAGTCAACTGTTGTCTTCATAGCAAAACTGATGTAATTAGTCATAAATTATGTACGTACGTACCTCATAGTCCATGCAGCCAATGTATTGTCTCCAGGCGCCTGATCCACAAAATCTCCTCCAGCCCATTTTTCGGACCTGTTATATGGTGTGGCCCAAACATGATAATTACTAAACGCCCCGCGTATTTGTTCATAATCGTCTCCCAATAGTAGTGGGGCCGCAACTGGGCCTGGGACCAGCCGATAGCCCACATGGTGGCCCATATTAGTCCTCTTGTTGGGATTCACTACTATGACCTCTATATCGCCAGAGTTGAAAGTCATTTTGGCATCGGACTCGGTCTTAGCTGTCTCATGGACCGCGGTCCAATAGCTTCTCCTCGGACAAGTCCCATTGGCCACACGGACCGTTTTCAAGTGGGTTTTTGTTAAGGAGTTTGCGGACCCGTCAATGTCGAGGTCGAGATGGAAGGTGAGAAAATGGTTGTGACGGACGGCAATGGTGTTTTCGGCTACTAAAGTGCCGTAGATTTCTTCTTTGATTTGGTCTTGGTGCGTGTATTTTGAGCCCTTGACAGCTAGGATTCCGGAAAGACTAACCTGCGCATGTTTGTAAAATTTTAATTAGTAGTGTAATGTTATGAAAAGCATTTTGTATATTGAATATTTGGATGTGTGGAGAAAAGAAAAAATGTTATCCGATATATTTATATTGTATAATGGTAATTATGGTTTTGAGTACTTTTATATAGGAACTAGCATTAGTAACATAAATGCTCTAATTGTTTGGTTTTGGATTTTATTTATTTAGTTATAATAGTAGTAGTAATAATAATAATAATAACAAGCTAAAGGATTTGAAAAAATATTAATGACACGAGAAGCATTGTGGCCAAGCACAAGATTGACCTTATCATGAAAATAAAATGAGTGTAAAAATATTCTAAAATTAGAAATCATCTCGCAATATTTTATTGTTTTCTCCTTTCTTCTTATTAGCCAAATCAAGAGATTATTCTTTTACCAAAGAATTAACTTAACAAAAAAAAAAGGAAAAACAAGTATCCGCTTTAGGACTACCTCATGGTTCATGCTACTTTCTCGTATTCAGTTAGTTTTACTTTAAAAAGATCTATCATTATATAAAAAGAATAACCTTTTTACAAATTTAGAAACTTTTTCCCGCCAAAATCATTAAATATATCCTATATATAGTAATTGTTGGATAAATCTGAATAGGCAAAAAAATCCGCTCATTAATTGTGTAAAGATTTATTTCTCTTTTTCCTGTTTCTTAGTTTATCGTTTTAACAATAAATATTTGTTTTTCTTTTTCCTATTTTTAGTATAAATCTACATGAGCTTATCTCTTGATCTGTTACAAAATCTCATTGCATACGATCTTAGGTGTTTAAAAAATCTCATCTCTTATCTATACAGATTTGAAAAAATAAAATAAAATAGAAATCAATTCATAATTACTACTAGAAATCCATTATCTTTAAAAAAAAAAAAATAGAAACTAATTCACAATTACTACAAGAAATTCATTATCTACTTTAAGAAGCTAATTTTCATCGGTCTAATTACTAATATTTTTACAAATATTCTAAGCTAACCATACGAAAAAGTGTAATAATAATTTTGAAATGGTGTGTAATCAAATTTTTTTATATTCTCTCATACAAAATCATTTTACATTGTTTGACCCCGAATCTTTAATTTATAATTATTAAGTATTGTTTATCCTCCTCTTTTATTTATAATTATTTTTTTTTCTTCCTCTTTTTAAATACGATCAATAGTAGTTTTTATTTCCGCGATTGACTCAAACTCAAGGTCTATTTATAATATTGTTAATTTAACATTATTTCCGTGCATCGCACGGGGTACACACTAGTAAGGAGCAGCAAAGCTGTGGTTCCCGTATATTAAAAATAATAGTAAAAAAAAATCTAAATAAAGTATTTGGATTTAAAAATTAAAAAATAACTTGAGGGGATTGAACTTCAGTTTAAAATTATCATTTTCGTACTTTTTCATATTAATGGCATTAAAATTGAAATTTGAGTTTTATACAAAAAGGTGACGAAGCAAACATGATGGAGACTACTTAATATCACGAGTTTCTAAGGTGAAGAAGCAACCACGATGGAGACTACCTAATATCACGACTCACGAGTTTTTAAGACTATCTTTATCCCCAACTCAACTCAACCTCAACATTTATTTTATTTTTATTTATTAAGAAATTGTAATTGTATTTTAAAATATATCAAGTGTGGTCTCTATTTGTAGAGAATGAAAAAATATGAATTTTAGTATTTCTTTTATTTTTTTCAGAAACAAAAAAAATACACTTATCCAATAAAAATGAGACAAGTGTCCCATTCCTACACAAAACCGGTCGCGACCCAGGTCACCTGGGTCGCAAAGTTTGTGACCATTTTTTTTTTTTTGTTTGTTTGTCTTATTCCCGTGACCAATGAAAAGGTCACGGATAAACATAGTCTAAGCGTTACTAGTACAACACCCGTGTATTACACGAGTGCTCGTTAAAAAATTATTCTTAAATTTAAAATTAATGAGAAAAATTATTTTAAATTTTATTTATTTTCTTACAAAAAATAGATACTATTATATATTTTAGAATGACAGTTGTTACTTGTGCGACTTATATTATAGTAATTTTTATAACTTATATCATATAACTACTTAAAATATAAATATATTAATTGATAAATAATTTTATTTTTTTAATTAATATTAAAAAAATAATTTTATTATTGTTATAAAGATAAATATAATTTATTTTTTTATTCATACATATTAAATCAAAGCTCATCAAGATATAATTAATTTGATATATTATATATGTAAAACTGATACAAATACAAAAGTTATTAACTTTTAAAATACATTTACAATTCAATTGTTATAATAAGAAAATGATATTAAAATACAATTAATACATATAACATGACCATAAATAATCAACATATTTATGTATAATCCAGACCTAATTATTTTTGAATTGGAAGTAAATTAAAATCTATCGAAGCCTAATAATGAAGCATGTAATTTTGCCACATATGATCCCGAAGCATGCGAGCCTTCGGCCCTTCCACTTAAGCTAAGCACGTTTTAAATTAATATACACACGGGGGATTTGGCTTGAGTTCAGGTTTCGGGTGCTTGTGCTATGCTCGATGAGGTGTTTAATTTTCTTGTTTGATTTTCTTGCAGTTCTTGATATATGAGCACGCTTGACATATAGTAAGGACTTTATTTTTATTTATTTTTTCAAAAAAAGAGGTCCGTTTGGATTTATTCCTCGTTTTATGGTACTGGCTGGTCGGGCCTATTGGCCACCATTACTAGCCAAAAATGTGGGGTGAGGGCTTGATAAGATTAGATTCGTTTTGAGTAAAAGTGAATGATGCCGTACGAATTGTATGAATGTGAAGATAAAGCCATGAGCGGTACATTTGTGGCTCCGAACAAATTCATATTGAGATGACAACATTTTACTTACAGTGACTTTGATGCCGCCATTTTGCTTAAACTCCCAATCAATAATATAGTCATAGTTGGCCACCGTTGATACCATCCTCACAACAAGCGTTACGTCTGGTCTGGCCTCCTGCAAGTATATATGCATTGCTTAAATCAAATCTATATTTTAAATATAGATATAATAAGAATAAGGTTAAATCATTTTTAGAAAGTTTTTCCGACATAAGCATTAGTTACATACTAAAAATGATAATTTTAAAAATTTTAAATAAAAAAAGGAAGCATTCATTGGACTTATTTACCTTTAAAAATGGAATCCATTTATATATGACATTGACATTTATTATGTTAACAAATTTGTTAGAAGATTTACATACGAATTACTAATTTGATTTGATCATGATCCTTTTTTAGGGTAACGAGTTTGTAAAATATTTTATCTTCACAGTAATAGATTTTTAAAAATCAACTATTTCGAATGAAATCATTTTGAATGTAACAATAGTTTTTTAAAACTTTTTATTCAATATCTTCTTTAAGATTGGGATGGAATCGGTACAAGAAGATGAGAATAAGATTAGAATGGCGTGGGTAAAAAAAAATAAAAATGANTGTGATATATACGCAAACCCATTATGTATAACTTTTTACAACAAAATTCTCCAAATTCTATTCCACGAATGATTTTATAATTTAGTAAGCATATTTGTTTAAAGGTTACTTTTCCAATCTATTTCATCAAATGAAATGAATGACACAAAAATAAGAATGATACAACAAAAGAGATATAATGAATATTATTACTCATCAAGTTACATACCACTATGTCATCACCAGGAAGAGCCGCCTCTGTGTGGCGCCACATTACATCACCCGAGTAACGTTCGAAAACACAAAAGACGTTAGATATTTTCACGGGAGTCCCCTCTCGACTCGTGTAATAACCATCGAAATACTTTGCGTTTTTAGGGCAATCCCTCGAGGGCTGTAGTGGCACCGCACAAATGCCGAACCCAAACTCACCGGCATCGAGAAAAGTTCTGAACCACCACTCTTCACTAAGGTCTTGATACGGCACGAAAAGTTCCGACACGTAGCCTTTATACAAAACACTCCGGTATTTGTTTTTGTCGTGATCGAAAATCGACGCCAAGGAGATTACAGGGCCAACTCTCATGTCGAAACCGAGATGGAAATCCCAATTAGCCCACCTACATGATAATCACAACAAATTGCAAGTGTACAACAAATTATTTTGATAAAATTTGTGAATATTAATTAATTTAACTTAAAGTTAGTTGCATGTACCATAATTTCCATTATATTGTACTCATAAATATACCTCACATTATTTCCATCTAAGGTGAAACTTGGTCCATCTTGTTGCAATATTGTCATACCCTTGAGATGATTGTCATGAAGATGGCCTTGTTTAGACTCGACATATTCTACACCATCACCTTTGGCGACTGGAATCATTTGACGGTCATGATAACCGACGATCTTCATTAGGTCAAGATCGACTGTAGCCATGATACCCTCGATTGGCTTCATATAGAAGTTAATCGTGCCATCAACATAGTAGCACATCACTTGTACCACCCGTTTGGTCTTCTTCTCTCCGTACCATCCGATGGTAAAGGCTTCGCACAATACCTCACTTAGTTTGAGCTTTCGCTTAGCGATGGACTCCACAAACGGTGGATATTTGTGTGGCAACTCGCTCGCGAGAGCTTGCTCCTCGGCATTGAGCATCGGGTAGCCAGTGCCTCGATAAATTTTATCTGATAAAATCAATTTGTTAGATAGATCTATCAGAATCTCGTGGCTCTCAAAATTGACACGTGCAACGATAAATGCTCTACGGGGAATGATGGATGATTTTTTGTTTTGTTTTTTGGACAACAACCAAGAGAGGACCTTTGGTTTGTATGGCTCATCCAAGCCCACATATTGAAATGTCACATTTTGGTGTGATGTTTTAACTAGGGTTTGGACTTGCTTGAGCTCTAATGGAGTTAGGGAATCTAGTGGATGATGTACTACTTGGCTTTCAACATTAGGAGTGAAGGAAAGAATAGCAAGAAAGATAAAGGCAATAGCAACGTTTGTAGTTCCCATTGGATATACAATGTCCTTTTGCTCTAGATTGGCAAATACCCAGGATGTATTTGGGGACATTATATAGATAGCTAAAGGGTATTTTCGAAATTAACAAGCTTGACTATGATTCACCATATATATACTCATGATTATCCGCGCCACGCAGTCATCATAATTATGTATATTAAATTGATTTAATACAAAAATAGAAAATTTATCTTATTTCGTTTATAAACTAGTACCAAATCCCGTGCGATGCACGAGTAATAAATATAATTTAATATTTATAAATTATTAGATAATATTTATAAATTAAAAATAAGGAATCAACAAATAATACAACTTATCTATTAATGTTGAAAATGTTATATGAAATATAAATTGTGAAAAATTATATTAAATATGTCTATTTAAAATTGGTACACGACCCGTATGGTGCAAATAACTGATAATAAATTACATTATATTCATTTCGAAATAGCTATCATTTTAAAATTTGTATTCAGAAATTCGATCTAACTACAATGTGATTCAAGTAAATACATACCTTTATATATAGTAGTATCCAGATTTTCTCTCATTAATATCGAGTAAAATACTTAGCAATATAAAAAAAAAAATTGAGATACCATTTTTTACCATAAACATGTATATTGGATCAATATATAGTATACCAAATAATTCGATTTCATACTTTATCGATAAAATACAAAAAATGATATTTAATTTTACCACAAAATTAAATGTCCAGCGTACAAAAAAAAAATCGAGACCCACGTGTTTTATAGATAAAAATAAAAAAGACATGAAAAACAATTATTAAAAAATAATTAAATAGAAGCTGCCATTACTACAATTATTTTGGAATAATTTTACAAAAAAATTATGATTGAATAAATCAACCAAATTTACTCGACTGTGTAATTAGGGTATCTTAAAAATATAATTTTTATTGTCTCATTATTTCTTTAATTATCTATAATTCTAATAATTAAATACACAAAAAATAAATAACAACTATTAAATAATACTTAAATAAAAATTGTCATTACCACAATTTTTAGAATAATTTTTTGCAAATCGCATAATTGATTATTTTAGTTGATATTTTCATAATTCTAGTAATTATTTGCAAATTGAATAAATTATTTGGATTTAGACAATTTGCGTAATTAAGGCATATTAAAAATACATATTTACATATGAATAAATTAAGGCATAATTGGTATGTATTCTTTTAAAAATTATATTTATTTCAAATCTTATTGGTATGTTGTCAATCTAATAAAAATAAATAACTATTTATCTAAATTCTAAAATTACATATGAAGTTAAAAAATTATGAAGCACGACACGACACTTGATGTATTAGGCATCAAATTTAGTAAAAAAATTAATCTACTTTGTTTAATATTAAATAAACATATTCTACACTTATGCATATACATATCACCATATTATTTCTATTTATTTGAGATATATATTTTTGTCCTTATGTAATAGTAAATAATATCGATATTTTTATATGATATAAGTAAAAAATTTTAACACGGGTTGATATTTTCATTTAATGTACGGGTGTTTAATTATTATGATTAAAAAAATATAATTTTGACAATTTAATTAAAACTCAAAGTAATGTTTTATATAAATTAAGTTATTTTAGTTGTTAAAAAAATAAAAAATTTAATATTTTTTTACAAAAGCTTTCTAATTCAACATTCGTGTAATATACAAGTATTGCATTAGTAATTTTATTAAATGTATTGCCTATATTTGTAAGTCAACATGTGTGACTTTACATGGCATGATTGATGTTACCTAACAAATTTAAATTATAAATATTTAAATAAAAAAAGTGATAAATTTGGCAACTGTAGTCACATTTTCCAAAAATTGGCAACCGTGGCATGATCACCTCCTTTGCATTAAGAATATTTAAATTAAAAAAAGTGAAAAAAATCTTGTTACAGTTCCTAAATAAAGGCAACCGTTACACATGTAAAGGGGATTACTTATCACATATACACTTAACACATCATTAAGTGGCAGACCGTTCAATAATTAATTAAAAAAAGTGTAACTGATTTTGAAGGAAAATTAAATGTATTTTTGTTAATTGTCATGCTGGTAATTATATATATATATATAGATTATAACTCATATTCAATCACTCCCTTAGTTACTTGTTAAAGTTTTAGTCCGACTCGCTTCTACATTTAAAGAGTCAAGCTAGAATAACAAATCAACTTTGTCGATCAAACAATTCAAGCTTCGCAATCAACCCGTATATAATTTTTTGTTCTTGATAGGTTTTATTGCAGTCGGGATAAAAAGAGAAAAAATAACGTGCTAAGTTTCTCTCCAAACAAAGCTCCATTCCCCTTTTCCTTTCTTCTTGCAGAAACCTATTTTTTTCTCGGGACTCTCCTCCAGAGGGACTCCATAGCCGTCCAACTTTACCCCTTACCTAGGATGGTCGTGTTTCAACGGGTGGTTGTCGGATTTCAGGTTCGAGGGATCCTCTCTGCCTCCTTTCGGCGGCGTTGCGGTTGCCGGCAGTGAAGGCCGCCCTCGTGGCGGTTGGGACGGAGATGCGACTCTCCTCTTTAAGGTGGATTTGGTGCCTGGGGCTGGTTTTATCGTCGCTTGCAAGTTCCTCGGCGAGTCGCTGGTTTTCACTGCCTGGATTTCCTTTGTTTCTGATGGACATGGCGACAAGGGGATCAATGAGTTGCAGGGTTGTTTTATCGGTGACATATCTTGACGGCCGACTGAGGCAGGTGGTTGGGTTTTGGCTGGTTCTATGGTTTTCTCCAGCTCCTTCTTTGCCCTGGTGTTGGGCGAGCAGGGGCCCCGACGGGGGTGGCTCTGACTTTGGTCGGTTGGGGGTTGCCGCCGGTTGGGTTGGGAGGAGCTGGGGTGAGGGTCCGCTAGTGCTGATCCTAGGACAACCTTTTGGGTGGGTTTCAAGACTCTTTGGTCTGGTTCTAGTTAGCCGCTCAGGGAGTCTCTTGTTCCGTGTTTGGATTGGGGGGTTCGGTCTTCCCGTCTGGTTTCCTTAGGCTTTGGTTCACTTCGAGAGTCTTGGGTTGGCTCCTTGGCTGGTGGGGAGGTCATTAGTTCTGCAATCGTTTTGGTGTTTTTCTTTTCGTTTGAGAGTTGTTTGTATTCTCCTGTTGAGAGATGTGTTAGATCTCTTGTTGGAACCTTTGTTGTGGTCTTTTTTAGTTGTTTTTAACGCTAGTGTGTTGTGTTTAGGTTAGTTCTAGGCTGCCTCAGGTTATCCTCCTATAGGATTAGTCTCCTAACTAGATTCAGCTGAGTAGCTAACTTTTTCGACTGCTTAGTTGTTCTCTAGTTTGTAATTATGTGTTATTCTTCTATTGAAAGCCTATCATTTCGTTAAAAAACAATGATAGGTTTTATTGCATAAAGTGAATTAATTTTGAATAAAGTCGATTGAGTGGAGATTTGAGTTAGATTTTGAGTTTGTATTTAAACAATTTCTAAAATGTAATAATTAAAATTGATATGATATAAAATATGAAAGTTGTTATTCGAAAAGGTAGGTAGTTAAAAATATGTGAGTGCATGAATAGTGATTTTTTTATGGTATATGTGATAGCGATTGATTTATAAAATTTAATTTAATTTATAATTGTTGATAAACGAAATTGTATCAACGAAAAAATACACCCATATTCTGTGAATAATCGGTGTTTGATTAATATGCATTTTTATTGATTTTTTGAGAGATGAAGATCTATCCCATTTCTTGATATTTTGTGTGTTGTAGAAGACAATGAATAGTGTCCTCCTCCTCTTTCTCTCTCATGACCCTATATATATACATGCCTTTTTCTAACAAGTGGGTCTATTAAAATATAAATAAAGGGGACAATAGTATTAATGCGAGATGACATCGTGGGGCCCGATTGTGACACTTGACGGCTCTAATTGACGTCTACTTTATCGGCAATTATTGTGTCTGTCGGGTTAGAACCTTCTCGATATTTGGGTCGGGCTGATGATATTAATTCTGCTCGGCTCGAATGTGGATGATCTGGGCACTTGGGAACTCGGTCGATATTAAATAGTCAGCTCAGAGTACCTGTTATATTTATATTTATTTAATACATATTCACGTGTGGCATTTTTATTAATCGAGGCCAAATTAAGTATCAACAATAATATTGAAAAAAATTAAGTTGGTTTAAAATTGACTTGAATTTTGAGTTAACGACTTATAAAAGAATTATTCGACAAGTCAAAATCATGTTATTAATTATTTATTTTTGTACTCAATCATGTATTAGTTTAATTTTTAAGGTTTATCAAATGAGTCGAACTGTGTTTATATGATCTGAACTCGAGCTCAAATTTTTGTTCGTTTATTAAACAGGTTGAGCTACATTAGCTCGTATTAAAATAGCATTTTTCGAACATGAAGTACTCGACTCAATTAATCTAGCTAGACGCACATATAAAGAAGTCAAATATTAAAATAAATTTTAAATATTCAATATAACTTCATGAATCGCACAGTAAATAGTAGTATATGCATTTCTAAAATAAAATAAAATAAAAAAATAAAAAAAATCAGTTATTATGCTTTCTAGTTGTGCTTTACATACAGATGACATTCCTTTAACAAAAATTTGTAAATTATCAACCATTCTTTTATTCATATAATGAATGTTATTTGAAATTAATTAATTTATATTTTTTTAAAACAAGTAAAGGGATTGTTTTTTCTCATGTAATTGATTTTTAATTAGAAAATAATTTAATTTATTAAAAAGTCTAATATGATATGATCAAATAGTCCCACCATTCTTATATGCATCATATCTTATGAGTATATATGTCATTCCGTTGAATATGCCACACAAAAAAATAAGTTTTAACAGTAAAATTCATATGCTGAAACATTAAATATTTGAAAAATTAGTGAATATATAAACAAAATTTATAAAATTTATAACTATTGCATACTAAATATTCTAATGGAACTCTAGCACAATCAAATTATATGAAATCAAAACATAC